AAACATACGAGTATATACGAAAATCGAAAGCGTTATTGTCTTTTTTAAATTTTATTCGAAACTCTTAACTGAAGCACATATACATACATACGAAAATATTTTTTAGATATCGTTTGCCTACACTGAGAAAAATTATATTTATTTCAACATATCTTTTGAATGAACTTAGACTCGGAAGATTCTAAAACAACTCAGTTGCTAAAAGTTGTATAGTTGAGTTCTGATGAAAAAAGTCCATGTATACCTGCAGAAGCTACACGCTCAACACAAGGTGCTACGGACTAAAAAAAGGTGAAAGATATTTCATACAATGCAATTGTGGAATCTGACGACTCAGATTTGTCGGAAAATTTCAAATCCTTAGCTTTCGCTAAATACGAAAACTGTTTAGACCAGAAGAAACAAATCCAATGATTTCGGATCAATTAAAATTAATTAAAGCAATTGCACCTACTCCACATCCGAGAGTAGAGCTGCCACAAATTCAATGTCAAGAGTCAAATTCAAGCATCCATCTCAAGGTGCCCGTATGTGAAAGGGTAGACAAAAAACTAGTTAAAACTAAAAACGTTCAATAGGCCCCAAACCAGTAGCAGCAACAATTTAAATATAAGCTTTTTTAAAAATCAATCAGGAGGGCATAAGCTCAAATCTTGCGAGAAATTCAAAACGTTAAATATTGTCGATAGGAACAATTTTGTGAGAACAAAAAAACTTTGCACAAACTGCTTGTCACGTGCGCATACTCTAAAAAAACGCGAAAGCAAATTTGATTGCGTTTATTGTTATAACCGACATCATTAAATGCTTCATTACATCACATTTTCCAGCTCATCTCCAAACAGCGCAAATATGGAAAAAGATCCGAAGTATGAAATCTCGAAAATTGCCAAGAAGCACCATGCCGCCCAAAGGCATTAAAAACTCAAATGCTACACAGTGAAAATCAAAGTAGAGTACTACTACCCACTACAGCAGTCGTATCCATCACCGAGAAGAACTGTTTAAGCTTAGGGCCTTAATAGACCAAGGATCACAACGATCATTTATAGCGTCTAGGGCTCAAAATAGGCTACAACTACCAACAATTTCTAGCCAATTTTGAAATCACGGGAATGGGCGGATGCGTGATTAAAACTAACCTAATTTCCCCCAAAGTGGATAAGCGCATTCAAGCAGAAACTATCTTCTTATCGCAACTAACAAATATACTTTCAAGCAATCACATGACAAAAGCAAGCATTGACAAAAGGTTTCACACCTATAGCTAACAGTTCCCAACTGCATCAGCCCCGCTTAAATAGATATACTCCTAGGCAGTGACCTTATACCGCAAATAATACTTGAAGGTTTTGAAAAAATCTCAACCACCCTTCTAGCCCAAAGCACTATATTCGGTTGGATTCTAAGTGGTCTAGTTACAGAACCAGTTATAACCCATGACAACTCAAGTTGCGAAAATCTCTAACGAATACTCCAATTCACAATTACGAAAATTTTGGGAGTTGAAAGGACTTTCCTCCATATTAATCAGAACCCCTGAAGATCAGTATTGTGAAGACTTTTACACAAATACTAGATCAGATAATGGTCGATACTACCACTAAGTAGTCACTGTCCACAAACATAGTAAAAAATATGCCAAAAGAAAATTTGTTAGACACTAATTTCTTTAAATTCGATAAAGAAATTACAACAAAAACTCTGGGGATTCAATGGAATGCGATATTTGACCAGTTTTCATACACTACAGAGTCAATATCAGCATTACATCCGACATAACAAAACGCCAAGTTTTATCATCTGTGGCAAAACTGCTCGACGCCGTAGGATGGCGTTCGTCAGTTATGATACAAGCGAGAATCCTGAAATAAGAATTATGGCTAGACGGAACCGACTGTGACGAACAAGTGAAACGTCTTCGGTTAGAAAAATGGTCCCCATTTCTATACAACACAAGTCGAATAACAAAGCTTCTGTGATGCCTCTGAGAAGGTATACTGTGCCACTATCTATGTGCGCTACCACCACCACAACCCACTTTTTAGTAACAAAAGCAAAGTTGGCTTCTCTAAAACCGCTAAGTCTACCTCGACTGGTTGGAAAAACCACCACATGCATGGAAGACGTACATTTCTAATCGAACGTCTCAAATACTTGACCAAAAGAGCTCAAAAAGTAACAAAGGCCATCCTCTTATTATAACAGAGAAGTCTCGACTTGCCATATTACTCCTCAGTTATATCCACTTACATATGCTTCACGCAAAACCTCGCCTAATGCAACAAAAGTCCGCCAAAAGTCCTCTATTACCCGACTTAAGCCCCAAATAGAAAAATGCATTTTCATGTGCAAGATCTGCACTATGCATAAGCAGAATTTGCGAACGCAGACTATGGCAGCAATTCCACCGGAACGCCGCAACTTCGCTCTGCCTTTCACAATTACATGTGTCGATTTTGCTGGGCCTTTTCAGATAAAGGCGTTCATGCTAAGATCTCCCAACAACATGAAAGGCTATGTGGCTGTCTTTGTCTGTTTTATGACAAAACCAGTGCACCTCGAGCTATGTATGAATCTGATAAAGGAGGCTTTCCTCGCCGCATTTGCTCGCTTCGTCGGACGACGCGGCTTCCCTCAGAGCTAATGAGCGATAACGGCAAAACCTTCATTGGAGCTCAAAGTTTCAGTGACCCTCAACGTCAACTGTAAGGTCGGCAACAACGTGTCGCGCGTGGGGCAACTCCAGCGCCACGATCCACATTTTTAGAGACATTCAGCCCATGCAACGCCAGCTGGCACTGCCTTAATTGTTTGGCTACGGTACACGCTACTCAGGTGTGTACGTCCATTACCCTCTGGCAACTGTGCAACAGGCCGCCCCACACCATGCTTCACCGCAGCCCAGCAGCCCCACGGCCTTCGTTCCGACCCGGACGGCGAATCTGCTGCGGTCTGCTTGCTGCACATCTGCTTGAGGCAAGTTGTCGCCCGACGGCGTCCGAGTCCTCGATCCAGACCGAAATAAGGAGTCAATGCGGTGTCGGTAGCCCAGGAAATCATACCACCACTCCACTGGCCTCAGCAGCTTTGTTGTTACACTGCAGCAACTACAGCGACTGCTAGACTAGTAAACCACATCAATACAATCCACTCATGGAGACCCCACACAATGACACACACACAACGCAAATATCACACACATACACACCACAACTCTACCTACCCAATGATCAAAACGAACTGCCTAAGAGCTGGAGGTCTTTTCGTTTGGATATCAAACCGGCAACACAGCGTCCGTCGCAGCATCATCATGTTTCATAAATTTAATTTATTCAATTTATTAATCTCACTTTGCGGCATTCCGAATCATTTTTTCCGAGTACGCGGTAAGGGGCGAGTGAAGGGGATCGAATACTCACTTACTATTGTGAGGTTTTTGAATTTTGGAGCTTAAATGCTCACAATTTCCTCACAAATTTGTGACGTCTGAAAGCAACTCTCACAATACATAAACAGTGGTGTATGTTTTGCTAATTTCAATATTTGTACAAATTTGTAAGTATTTGTAGAAACTTTTTTTTTTTGTTTACATATTGCTTCATTCTGAGTATGAATAAAAAGGCTCAAGATTTTATTTGTATATATGTATGTATGTATTTAATACATGTGCGAATGAAAATTTTATGCCTAAATAATTCAGTTATTTTGTTATATATACATATGCAATAATAGCATTCTGAAAGATCTGCTGAATTCACCATATGAAAATATGTATTCCTAACTATTACAAGAACACATACAAGTCCATATGCGCAATACGAGAAAATACAAAACTAACACAAAAGAAACATATGCATGCAATACACATGCATTCAACATTTAACAATACAAACATATTTACCTAGTGTAAGAACTTGTATATAAACATACACGCACATGCATGCAAAACATTTAAAAACAGTCGATATCACATGACAATACAATATACACGTACACACACATTCATGTAGATAAGATAGTTTTTTGAAATATTACATAAGCGATGAAAGTACTAAAATAAACCCAGAATGAAATATGTATTGTAATGTGCTGTATAGAGAAATTAAAATATACATATGTAATAGTGCGAAATTTTTCAATAGTATAATATTACCTTACCATTTGTTTAATTGATCCGAAAGTTTATTGAGCACCGTTGTCATCGCCATTAGCGCTTGTGCCATTTGGCTCAATACACTCGTAATTTACTGGTTTTTGTTGTTGAGCAATGGCCTGCTCCTCTTGTCTTTAGTGTGCCTACATTTATTTTAGCCCTGCTCCAAGCGTTTGCGCTGCTCTATGTTTTTGACTTTCAGAAGGGTCGCAAGCAGAAGGAGATGGGGTAGGAGAAGTTTGGATGGGAGGAAATAAACTAGAAGCTAGATGGTTATAAAACACGAGAAGATAGGATAAGAGGTGATGACGTGGGAACAAGAAACCTCACAAATAAGTTGTGACGCATTCTATAATCTTATTTAATTATATTACGCATCTAAATTTAAGCGAGTACAGTTGTAATTCGACAACAGCATATCAAATGAATATTACGTGAGAATATCAACCATTATTACTGTTGGTACAAGTATCAAAGTCAGAAAACTGCTCAAGAGCAATTGTCTAGATTATTTTTCAAATTTTTGACTTTGAATAAATTGAATATTTGTAAAGCAAATGTTTGTACTTTATTTTTTATTTACTTACCAACGTTTCAAACAGAATAATTACCCAGAATTGATCTTAAAAAATCGTTGCTATTTAAGCCCTTTCTCAATATTCTTTAAATTATCAATATTAATCAACTCGAAAAACTAAGTAAGTATACAGAAATTTAGTAATTTCACGACAAACGTCCAATTCAATTCAATTATACTAAACATAACTTTTTCAAATTGTAACGAACGTCATTGCTTTTAACTTCTTTGTGTAACATTTTACGATTTTTGTCAAAATTTGATCAATGCTTATTATCTGCTTTTCAAGTAAACTGTCTGTAGTAGCCTTCCTCAAATAACAATCTTCTATCAGTATCAGACGCAAGTATAAGGGCAACTATTCTCCACTAGGTGTGTAAATCATTGAATTATTTTGAGCTTTAACTATCCCACAGTTAAGAAATATAACTTATATTTAACAGTAACAAAAAAGCCAACATTAACTTACATTCTCTATTTTCAATATGTCTAGTGATCGATCATAGTACCATATTTTGTGGTTGGTTTATTTTTATAAAATTTTGTAGCATCGAACCACTGCCACGCCCACAAAACGCCATTAATCGAAACCTAAAAATTGCCATAACTAAGCCGCAGATTCAGATACAAAACTGCAGTTTGGCACAAAGAATCGCATTAATAAGGGGCACCGTGGTTATAAAATGTTTAAAAAGTTCCAAGAAACCAAAACGCCCTCTCGTTTGGAACACACTACCTTGCGGAAGGTAACAACCAACACTTCACCAGCGAAAATTCTAACATTTTATTTGGTTAACTTAACATAGGTAACCCATATTAATCATTTGTTTGGTTCTATGTTAAAATTCTAAAGATTCTATGTTAAAATTTCAGTACAATTTTGGATGTTCCGTAACATGTAGCCAGGATACCACCGTAGATAACCATTCTATGTTAAATATTGTAGCCCTCAACTTTTTATATGAATTGTTTTTAGATACCATAACAAATTAAAAGAAAAATTATTTCTATTTTATTCATTTTATATATTTGCAAATTTCGATGAAAAGTTCTCAAGCTGAACTTTAATATCCCCATTTTAGTTTTTAAATTATAAAATTTAAGTTACCTATTAGTATTAAGTACTAAACTATTTATTTTAAAATATTATTAGTTCGAATATTAAAAATTAATAAATTGATGTAACTATTATTGTAAACTATAAATATTTAACAATTAAAATTAACTATCTATAAACCATATACATATATGCCTTTTGTTCATGCGACTTCTAATCCCGCGACATTTCACAACTAAGCTCACAACCCACCGTACAACATCATACAATACAACATAACCAACGCAACATCATACACCACCTACAACACACCATATCACTCACCAACACAACCATATACAATTAACCAACCACACTCTACATCTACACTATACACCCACACTGCAACCACCGTCTTTTCCACCACCCGAATGATCAAAAGGGACCAGTCAGACCAGAATGGCTCTCTTTTTCGCTTTCATCCGTGACCTATAAGGTTCTAACTAAAAACGTTCCCGCAGTGTGATTTTCGTAGCCTAAAGTAAAAGTGAAATTATAAATTGTATTCCAAATTATTTAAAACCCAAAATATAAAAAAAGTGAAAGTATAAATTGTATTACAAATTATTTAAAACCCAAAACATAAAAAAAGTGAAATTTATATTATAAAGTATTTTCGAAGCGTGAGATTAATTAAAGAGTTTTAAAAGAAATTAATTAAAGTCTTTTTAATTAAAAGGAGTGCTATAGTGCAAGTGAGGATAACACCGCACCCAAGGTGAAAAAATAAGTGAAGTCAACAAATGGTCCTTCGATCCTCTTTGAAAGGCACCTAAAGAAAAAAAAAAAAGGAAAACGTTAAAATTAAAGTGAGAAACTAACAATTATATTATATATAAGTGAAATTTTATTTCGGAAAGAATAAAAGCAAAGTGAGTAACCAAATGGTGAAAAGTACAAAAAGTTCAAAAACGAAAAGTACAAAAGTACTAATATATGTACATATATGAATACCTAAATAAATACTAACAGTGGTTAAACAAAATTACTACAACGGGCGCGAAATCAATGGATATACAAACTAACACAAAATCACCAAAATTAAAACGGGCGCGATTTAACCAAAACTAGAGAAAAATCAACAAAAGCACGGGAATTAAATCCACCAAGCACGCAGAGAGGAGACAATAACGCACAGGAAAACGCCGGAGACAAGAACAAAATTAAACAGAGAAAACGAGAAGAAGCATTCAAATTTATAAGTATTACTCCAAAACCCTTGGCGAAAAAAAGTGAGTCCATCCAATTACATTTTAAAATAGCGGCATTTTATGCACATATGTATGTTGATTTACAGTTTTATCGGTATTTCGTTAGAAATAAATAACCGAACAAAAAAACTGAAAAAGAAAACAATATACGGTATTTGCCTCAGCTTATTTTGTGTCTCCAAACACACCGTTATATTCTTTCAAACAAAAATTTTTGCAAATTCAAGTATTCCTACTTGCAATATTTCCAGCGATACCCTTGGCTAATCAAGCAAAGCAGGATCGCCTATAGCACATAAGCAAGAAAAACAAAAAATTAAACATATTACAGAAATACATACATACATACCTATGTGCATATACTTATAATTTAAATACAAAATTTTGGGCTTTAAAACTTTGCCGCGAAATATTATATATTAACCGCAAGTAACATCTTTTCTAATTTGCCTACATAATCATATGGTACATACATAAATTAACTAATTCTAAAAGTTTCAAAAAAAATTACTGTTGTTCAAATACCTGCCTGCTTAATTCGTGTCTCCAAACACACCACAAGACAAAATACAAAAACAATTTTATAAGTCAAGTTCATCGACTTGCAAACTTTCCAGCGATACCCCTTGGGCCCATAAAGCAACAAGCAGGATCGCTCAAAACATATAAGCAAAGGCAGAAAGAAAAAAACATACAATTATCGGCCTTTATGTATGTACACATATTTTCTTAAACATTGGCACATTTCCCGCGCTAAATATATACCGCAACCCAACCTTTTTGCTCTTCTCATTTCTCTTATATATGCTCTTAAAAAAGAAAAAAATATATATACATATAAAATAATATAGTTACAAATATATATATATAATAATAATACAAGGCACTCTCAGCGAAACTTTACAAATCGCGTTAGATGTATGCATGTACATATATATTTACAAATATATAAATATATAACTAAAAATATACGGTCAAAACGGATAATCATAACCACACATATGAAAATTAAAATTTACATACATATGTATGCTAATATATATACACATATATACATTTGTTTTTAGAACAATTTTATTTCGAGTTCCTTTTATACAAATGTATATAGATACATATATAAAAGCGAATATTACATACATACAAAAATAAAAATTATTCACGAATACCCAGTAAGCAATTTCGGCAATTTTTAAAATAATAATAATACGGACATAAATTTAATAAAATAAATTGACTTGTCCGATAAAAATTACAAAAGACTAATTTTACAATCATTTTCAAAAATTTTTACCTACAGCTTTGGGCAGCAAACTAAAATTTTTACTACAACCGTATATAGCAATATTTAATACAAAACTATTTTATAGCTATCTAATAGCTTTCAATTTAATTCAAAGAGTTATAAATGCAATCTGATAAATCAAAAGAGGTTAAACCACGAACACCTCAATCTATAGAAATTCAAAATGGCTGATGGTGATAAATCACAAAGCACACCCGCAGAAGCTACACGCTCAAAGCAGGGTGCAAAACAAAAAAGAACCAAAGACAATTCACTGTCAAGGTTCATAACTGAAAGTGACAGTTTTATTAGATACTGCACACGGTTTTCGGCTTCGCCTATTAACGACAATACAGAATCAGTCCTAAATTTAAAAATTCAAAGCATAGATAATATATGGGCACGCGTTCTGACAGCGTACGATACAATATTAGATACTGACGACGCTGAACTTCCAGAAAACATTAAAGCTTCGGCGTCAGCCAAATATGAAAACTGCCTCGATCAGTACGAAACTACGAAGGCAATGATATTAGACCAAATAAATTTATAAAGGCCATGTAGAGCCACGACTCTTCCTCCGAGAGTAGTTACAAATTCAAAAGAAAACCTAGATACAGGTATATTTTTAAAAGTACCAGCTTGTGATACTGAAGTTTTTCATGGAGGTTATGATCAATGGCCGTCCTTCCGGGACATGTTCACTGCCGTGTATATCAACCATCCTAAACTTTCACGAGCACAAAAGCTGTACCATCTCAGGAACAAAACAAAATGGGGAAGCAGGCAGTATTGTCAAGCGTTTCGCTTTGAATGACGAAAATTTTAATCTGGCTTAGGATGCACTGGTCGAAAGATACGAAAACGAAAGAGTATTGGTAGATAACCAAATAACTATTTTAATGAATTTACCAAAAATTCAACAAGAAACCAGCCAAGAATTTCAAAAACTATACTCGACAGTGACTAATTGCTTATCTGTGTTAGAAACACAAAATGTATCCACAAAATCGTGGGACCCTATCCTAGTAAATATTTGCGCAGCGACACTACCTNGCTTGATAAAGAAAAGCGAGCTTAAATCAGCATATGATGGCGTGATGATGAATATCTTGACCTCAATCATATGGAAGAAGCTGTACCATATGAAAAAATATCTAAAGGTAGATATTTATCTTTTTATCTTCCGCATCACGGGGTAATAAGACCAGATAAAATCACAACAAAAGTACGAGTTGTTTTTAATGCTTCAAAGTGTACGAGCTCAAGCAAATCACTCAATGATGTACTATACACAGGGCCAACATTACAACCTGATCTCATGCTGCTAATACTAAATTGGCGCATGTTTAAATATGTTTTCAATGGAGATGTAGAGAAAATGTATAGACAAATTTTAGTACATAAAGATGACCAAGATTTCCAGCGGATAGTCTTCCGAAAATCAAGTAATAGTCCAATCAGCGACTACAAACTAAAAACAGTTACCTTTGGCATCAATTGTGCACCCTATTTAGCCATTAGGACATTACATGAAGTGGCAAAAACCTGTCAAACAAATTTGCCTTTAGCAACTTCTGTGCTACAAAAACAAACATACGTTGATGATATTCTATCAGGTAGCCACAGTCTCTCATTAGCTTGCGAATCACTATCTCAAGTGATCAAAGCATTAAATTCAGCCGGGTTCCCCCTAAAGAAAATTACATCAAATCATCCGGAGATAATAAAAAACATAAAAGGGGAAGACTTATTATATACTAACTTCCTTAAATTTGAAAAGGCCAGTACTACAAAAACTCTCGGGATTCAATGGAATGCGATAACAGATCAATTCTCATATACAATTGAGTCAATATCTGCAATATCCGCCATAACCAAACGTCAAATACTTTCCTCGGTGGCAAAACGTTTTGACCCCGCAGGATGGTTTTCGCCAATAATGATTCAAGCAAAAATCCTCATTCAAGAACTGTGGCAAGACGGCACTGAATCGGATGAGCAAGTAAAACCCATACGTTTAACAAAGTGGGTTCAATTTGCAAACAATCTACATACCATCTCGGAAATTCGAATTCCTGGATGGGTAAATTTCGCACCTGACTATAATGTAGAATTACATGGCTTTTGTGATGCCTCTGAAAAGGCCTATTGTGCAACAGTTTACGTACGCACTGAATATGATAACAAAATATCTTCACGTCTTTTAGTAGCCAAAGCCAAAGTTGCTCCGCTGAAGACACTAAGCCTGCCACGGCTCGAACTGAATGGTGCACTTCTGTTAGCAAAACTAGTCTCAATTATCTAAACCCATCTGAAATTAACCAATCACAAAATGTACCTTTGGTCAGATTCAGAAATAGTCTTAGCATGGTTAGAAAAACCACCATATACCTGGAAGACTTATGTATCTAACCGTATATCTCAAATATTAGACTTAGTTGGCCCAGCACAATGGCAACATGTTGCAAGTGGAGATAATCCA